CTCCCCTCAGCAGTGTACTTTGTAGATCTGCCTGTTCTACTCCCCACTCTGTCTCTGGTGAAGCCTCTCCCCACCCCTGAGCCTCTGACCTGTACCCCAGTTCTGTATGAACAAATAAAATCTTAAAAAAAAGAAGAATTTACAGAGATGTGTTCTAATATGTAATCTATTTTGAAAATGTTCCATGTGCATTTAAGAATGTATATTCAGTTACTGTAGATAAAATAGTCTGTATATATCTACTTTGTTCATGTGGTGTAATACAGCATTCAAGACTGATATTTCCTTACTGATTTTCTGTGTTGAGGGTCTATCCAACAATGTAAGTGAGATGTTAAAAGTCTCCTACTATTACTGTGTTATTATCAATTTCTCCCATTAAGATTATTAAAATTTGTTTTATAAGGTTTATAGATCACAGATATATTGATGACTGCTACATCATCTTTTTGACAGACTGCCCCCATTATCATCAAATAATGTCCATTTTGTTTTTTATTATAATTTTGGAAGTTTTTTTTTAATCTGATATTGAAGATAAATGTTCCAGATTACTCTTTACATCTACTTGCATAGAATATCTTTCCCTATCTCTTCACTTTCAGTCTATGGGTATCCTTATCTTTGAAGTGAGTCTCCTGTATGCAGCATATAGAACTGTATCTTGTATTTTGTCTGCCCAAGTACTCTGATTTTCATTCACTTACATTTAAGATAATGGATATTTATATATTCTTGTCATTTTGCCAGTTTATTTCTGGTTGCAGTCACAGTTTTTTTTGTATCCTTTTCTTTCCTTGAATATTACTTTTTTTTAAAGAAGATTTATTTATTTATGCATACAGAACTGGGGTACAGGCCAGAGGTGCAGGGGCAGTGAGAGGACTCACCAGAGACAGATGAAGTACACGGCTGAGGGGAGCAGCGGGAGAGTCAGGACAGGTCTGCCACACCATGTGGTCTCCTCCCGGGCAGGCGAGAATCGAACTCATGAGGAAGTGGCTTTAGCTTCTCAGTGCTGTGCTTTAACCTGCTGCACTACCAGGGAGGGCCCGAATGATAACTCTTTTTTTAAGATTCAATTATGCATACTGAACTGGGGTACACATCAGAGGTGTAGGGGCAGTGGAGAGGATTCACCAGAGACAGAATGGGAAGCAGAACAGGCTGACTGACTAAGTACACTGCTGAGAGGAGCAGTGGGAGAGATAGGAGAGGTCTGCCATGCCATGTGGATCACTTCCCTGGCCAGGGATTGAACTGGAGCTGAAGTAGCTGTGGCTAGCTTCACTTTGTAGTGCTGAACTGTAACCTGTTGTGCACCAGGGAGGGCCTGAATGTGATTCCTTAGTACGAGTTTAGGTTCCTTTTCATTCACTTTTGTGTTTTTACTATTGGTTTTTGCTTTGTGGTTACTATGAGGTTCCAAAGTAACATTATATATGTGTATATACACACACACATATATATAAAACACACACACACACATACGATGTATATATATTGAATTTCATGATTTCTTGCTTATTTAGTGCCTTTTTTTAGTATAGGTGAGCCCCTTTAGCATTTCTTGCTATGAGTTTTGTGAGCTAAATCCATGAGTCTGCCGTTAAGATCACATCTGGTCTATCAGAGGACTGTGCATATGGCTGGGAAACTTGCCAAGAAGTAGCACTATGGTTGGCTTTGGTCTCCACCCTGGAAGGTGTTTCCAGTATGTGGTAGGGTCCAGCTTTGGCATGTTACTGTTTATGTTGCTGCAGAAGAGCTCTGCTGCGTTTAGTCTGTCTTCTGTGATTGAGCAAGCAGTGGTGGGCTAGAAGCAGCCAACGGTGTCAAGAAGGCATTTATGGCCCTCCCTGGTGGCGCAGCAGGTTAGAGCACAGCACTAAGGGGCCAAAGCCACTTTAGCAAGAGTTCAATCCCTGCCCTGGAGTTGATCCACATGGCGCGGCAGACCTTTCCTGGCCTGGCCTGTTCTGCTCCCCACTCTATCTCTGGTGAGTCCTCTCGCCACCCCTGCACCTCTGGCCTGTACCCCAGTTCTGTATGCATAAATAAACAAATCTTTAAAAAAAAAAAGAAGAAGGCATTTAGGTGCTGCAAACATGGTGCTCACTCAGGTAGGCTATGGGAGATGAGCTGGGATAACTGGGCTGTTGAAGGTGGTAACTGGAGAGTGGTGTTTGTGTGGACCACAATGATTGGGGCCTTACAGGTGTTGCTGATCTTTTAAGTGTGGCTAGGAGTGCTTAACTCTGGCCTTGCTCCAGGTTTTGTGAGTGTAAGAAGAGTCCTGTGGACACAGTAGGTGTTGCTGATTAGGGGCTACGATGCCTGTGCTACAGTGCATGTGGGCTGGAGGTTTGGGTGCTGCCTTAGCTGGAGAGTGCTCAGGCTGGGTCCCCTTATGGCCTTAGCACTTTTCCACAAGTTTGCTTTCTTTCAGCCACATTGTAAAAATCCTGTTTAGATGCTGATGTTTTTCAATGCTTAATTCCCCTCTGTAATGCATTACTTTTCAAAACAACTTGGTTTGCTTCTAGATTTCTTAGCCTGTCTTGCAGGAAGGTCTTGAGAAATCCCATGAAGTCTGAAGATACTCTTACCTATCAATGTTGACTTGGCAGTTTATGGAAAGACTGGGAGCTTTTCCTTCCTAAATTTCTTTCTTTGATCCAACCCTAGATGAAGCACTGAAGAATTTCTTCACAATGGTAACTCTGTCAGCCTTTCCAATAGTTTTCTTTTCTAAATTTGGGAAATATGGGGGATTGGTCCCTTTGGCTGTTCTGACTGCTGGCAAAAACCTCTTCTTACCCCACTGAAGTTTCTCTGCCAGTTTCTGATCCTCCTGTATATGCTTATACCTGGCTGAAGTAAGAATCCTGCCTTGCAGGGTTGCCATAGTAACCACATTCTTTCTTGAATAGGAGCTCTGAATGATCATGTGAATTCCTTGAAGTTTAGACTTAAGGCTCATCTTTCTGCTTGTCTGTTGCTCCATGGCTGTTGGGACTTGCTTTTCCAGAATCACTCAATTAGGTCTGGCCTCTACCAGTCCATAACCTGCCCTCAAGTAAGCCCTTCCTTTATTTCCCAGTGTTATTTTTGACTGACATTGCTTCAAAGTAGTTCTAAAAAGCTACGAAACTACAAGATTTAGAAGTATAAAACAGTCGAATAACTTTATAGACTGAATATGCTAATTCTTATTTAGCACCATTCTAGCTCACAGGATATAAGCACTGGTCACTACAGACTATTAAAAGTCCTAAGTGAGCATCTTCAGAATCCGTAACACTTGAAAACTGCTGGAAATGGCAGACATATTATTTTCTTATCTTTTAAGATGTGCTTAGTTTAGAAAGCTATGGTAATAATCATCTCTCCTTTTTTAAGTTAAAAAAATTTTTTTTTTCCATTTACTGTGCATACAACTGGGATATAGGCCAGAGGTGCAGAGGTGAGAGGGTTCACCAGCGAAAGTGCGGGAAGCAGAGAAAGTGTGGGAAAGTGTGGACAGTGAAATACACTGCTAAAGGGGAGCAATAGGCTAAACAAGAGAGGTCTTCTGTGACATCTGTGGGTTAGCTCTCTGGTCAGGGATTGAACTCAGGTCATAGTGGTGATAGCATGAGACTTAACTCCTAGATCAATAAGGAGTCCCAATAATCACCTCTCCTTATTTCGCCTAAAACACATATATTCATATGTTAATTCCAGGAACAAACATATTATAAACAAACAAACAAACAAACAAACAAATAAAAAGACCCCTTCCTTCATATCAAGAAAACAAAAGACTGAGTTCTTCTTTCTTCATTCTTAAACCCTCCTAAACAAAGAATTCAAAGGGTCAAGGGAAGGGTCTATTGTGGCAATATTTACAGGCATGCCATATTTTAGCATGTGTTGTTTTACTGTGTGTGGTGGGTAATGCTTTTTTTTTTTTTTTTACAAGAGTGCCCATAGGCAAATAAGATTATAGCTCATAATCTTTTTTGTTCGGCAATGCAAAACATATTATTGTTGTATACTTATAGACTATAGTATAATGTAAACTTTTATACATATTAGGAAACCAAAATATTCATGTGATTCATTTTACTGTGATACTCACTTTATTGAGGTGGTCTAGAACTGAACCCACAGTATGTGAATTACGCCTGTAGTGTGTTAGGATTAATACCACACTGAAATGTTTTAAATGCCCCACTTAAATGACATATTCATACTTACTGAAGTTTCTTCCTCCATCTCTAAAATGTAAGAAATTCCTTCATCTGATGGTGTTCCTGAGGGTTTACTCCATTGCAAAGATAACCAAGTAACCCCAGCCTTAGTTAATAGAGGGCTTGCCGGCATTGACGGGGCACAGCCTGAGGTGTGATATAAGACTTCTTCACTAAAACCACTGTTGAAACAATTGGTTTTAAAGAAAAAATGAAAAAAAACACATTATTTTTGTAGTGAAGAACTTACTTTTGCTAAGCAGTATTTTTTTTGGAAGATGAGAATTTTTGACAAATAATTAAAATCCAAGTAACAGATCTTAGATTTGATAATATCTTGTGGTAATGAATTAGTGTTCTCTTAAACTTTTGAACTGTTTATGTTTGTAACTTTGAAGTCTTTGTCTTAAATTATCTAGTCAGGGAAAATAATATATATTATACTATAGAAAGTATGAATACAGTAGCAAATTTCATTTGGCAAATACTTGATAAACTCACTCCCATATAATGTCATTTGTATGAAACAGAAAACACAAATTCTCAGTTATACAGTTAACTACTTGCCTTCATAAAGTTGAGAAAAGATACCTCAAAAATAAACATAAATTTCAATGGGGCTCTTGAAATTAACTTGGACTTTTTATTTAAATCAGACATTATAAATGTTCTTAGAATTCATGACTTTAAACAAAACAATGAAATCACATACACTGACAATAAGTAGAAAAGCCTCTTGCTCACACATTTTTTACTTTAAGTAATACATTTACTTCAAATAATCTTACTTTATATTAAAAATCTTGGTAAAGTTGCTAGTTTTAATCTTTCCTATATAACTAACCCTTTTATAGCCTTTGCTAAATAACATATACCTATATCAACAAGGTAATATACTAAAGCATACTTTTTATGTATAATTCAGACTGTGAATAATTTATAAGAAATGTTAAGATTAAAATATCTAAATTAAAAGTTATCTTACCTTGTACCATAGTCATTTTTGGCAGATAGTCGAAATTTACAACCCATTGCTGGTGATAGTTTAGTAATTTTAAATTGCTTCTGTAAGCCCATGTAACATTGACAAAAGTCTCCATTTCCTTTTCCCTGAAAGAAAAGGCTGATTATACATCATGTATATTACTGAAAAAAAAAAAAAAATTCTACATCAATTCTACTTGAGAGCTACTAAATTAGCTAGTATGCACTGTAAGCTGTCTTTACTACATGGATCTTAAGAAAAAGTTGAGATAGTTGCCATGGGGAACTGGTAGTAGTAGAAATAGGATCTCTTACATGGAGACTTACAGCCTTCCCCAACCTATGAAAAGTTCTAAGTAAGTAATTTTAATGAAGTCCTTATCCATCACCAAACCTCCAACTAGACAGCTAAGTTTCTTTAAAGATTTTGCAAATGAACAATGATGTAAAAAAAAAAAAATACATAGGCCCTCCATGGTGGCGCAGCGGGTTAAAACGCAGCACTAAGAATCTAAAGCCGCTTCCACATGAGTTCGATCCCCGCCTGCCCTGGAGGTGACCACATGGCATGGCAGACCTCTCCTGGCC